AATGACGGAAGTACAGATCAGATTACGAGCGAGATTTCTGATGTTTTCTGGAAAATAATTGGACTTAAATCAATTGTGGAGTCAAATTCTCAAGACTTTAAACTCCTGGGAAATAAAGCAGAGGAAGTAACTGAATAATACAACATTCGAGCCTTTTGCCAAGATTATTTTAAGCCTAATCACATTTCTCATAAAACTCTTACTTCATTTTCATTTGACAACTCTCATCTCACCGTTTTTAAATGTGGGCTGCTGAACAGCCTGAATAACATCAAATCATGATTATTATCTGTATTCATTATTGATGTTTGCCCAGTCAAGCGTTACTATTAATATAGCTCATAGTATCATATAACTCATCTAGTAAAGAGATTCTGTTGCAATGTATGTCTTAAAAATAAATCTTTACTCACAAAAGGGTCAGACATTCTGTCATTCTTCCAGTTCAAATTAAACCATTTGTTTATGTTGCATTTCCTACTAAAAGTTACTAGTTAACTGGCAACTAGGCATGGGCCGATTATCGGTTTCAAGGTATACCGCGATTTGGAAATTTCACGGTTTCAAAACCGGTAATATTTTCCGTTATACCGTTCCAGCGGTATGCGCTGTTTTTCATGTCTCCTCAAAGACTGAAAGTGTAGGAATCCCTCAGGTTGAGTGCAGTGTAGAGAGTAACACGACCCTCCTCCTCCTGTTGGTGCGAGCGAGCAGTCAGTCACGTGTGTGTATGACGGCCGAAGGAGCTTTTGACTGTATACGCTGATCTAACCACGGACTGATACAACAGCAGCAGTGCTGATCACTTGAGAATGATCATCGAATCCGATACCTGTCATCATCCAATCACAGATCGTGAACATAACTGTTCAAGGAAGGCTGCGGAATCCTCTGCCGGCTGGTCGCTCCCGCCTCACAGCAAGCGGCGCTCGCACTAACACCAATTCCGTCCGTGTTTTGACTTCAGTAAATCAGTTTTGGTGAATACAAACAACGTGATTATTTTTCATGAGTCCAACATCCCGCCGCGCAAGAGACGTGATCAGTAAGGGAAGTCGTCTTTCACTACTGTAATGTTGTTTGTTGAAATGTTTTATATTTAAGTAACTAATAGCATAAATCTTAACCTTGGACCTTATTCTTGAAATACAACATGACCAATAAAAAGGTGTCAAGCACCAAAAGCAGCCCATATTAAATCTATAAGCTGTCTTTAATTGAAAAATACGCATTTTCATGCATACTATATATATATGTGTGTGTATATACACGGTCACTCACCCCCCCCCCCCGTAAGG